AGAAATAAAATTTGTGTATTGGATGGAACTCCTCAACCTCAATGTTTAATTTACACTATAAATTCTGTACTAGCTGTGGCGAAAGCTGCAGAGTATTCTGGTTTGGTCTGGTTCATGAAAACCAGTGTTACATTTTTTTTCTAGGACATGGTACTGCTTGACTTTGACAAAATGTGGCAAGCAGCCCATTTAGAAGGGCAAAGGGGCAGGAGCACAGGTGTACCGCTCAGAAGCAGGGCAGACTAAGCACCGACTGGGCACCTCCCATCGCCAGACAAGCTGACCAGAGAAACAGCAACACCCTATGCGGGAAGCTGTCCATGAGGGGGTTTCACCAACCCTGCCTTCTGCTGCATGACTTGCCCCTCACTTTACCTGCTCAAGAACTAAACAAACACTGTGTGGTTTTATTTCAGTAACATCCCAGGGAAGCTGCCATCACAGTGGCTGGGTTTGTAGAAACCCAGATTATTTTAAGCTAAAAAATATTTGCATAATTTGTACCACACCATGGTGTGGGCACCCAGGTATTCCTAGCCTTTATATAACCCATAATAAGACTTATTTGCTTGGGTTATGCCATTATGATTTGTTAAGCCAGATTTAAGGTTCAGCAACCTTAAACCTGGCTTTGTGTGAAGCTGCCAATTAATCCTTATTATTCTGGGTAAAAAAATCTCACTCCATCAGACAATAAAACTAATTTGGAAGTCTTATATTAGCTATAGCAATCACTAACAGCAACCTCATTCATGCATGTCAAAACTATTTCTAGCTTTGCTAGACATTGAAACAATTTCATTCTTTGCAGAGGAGTTCTGAAGGCTTCTGAAATATGGAGGGAAGGTTAACCATTAATTTTGGATTATTATAGTAGCTACATGAATATTACCTCTTTAAAATGAAAAAGGAAGGAAGGAAGGAAGGAAGGAAGGAAGGAAGGAAGGAAGGAAGGAAGGAAGGAAGGAAGGAAGGAAGGAAGGAAGGAAGGAAGGAAGGAAGGAAGGAAGGAAGGAGGGACTTTTACATAGATCACATGTAGTAGTAATATTTTCAGTTCACTTCTTGAAGTATGTTCCTTAAATAATCAAAATGATGCAGTCCACAATGCCTGGGGGAATCTCAGGTTTACAGGACTGTAAAGAATAGTTACCTTTAGGAAAGAAGAAACAAGGCACCACAGAATGCATACTGAGCCTTGTAGAAATGGAAAAGAACAGATGGAGACAGGGATGAAATGGGGAGCCTAGAACCCTGAACCAAAGCCCCCCAGACTATTGTTCCAGGGTAAGAAATGCTCTTCAGGGTTCCAGCCAGTCAGTAAAGCCAAGGCACAAGAACAAGCAGCACGACAGCTCGCCCTCAGGTTCTCTAATCTAGAACATCTTATCGACAAATATGCAGATACAGCATCACAGGGATGGAAAATACACATCAGTGTAAAAATGCATTGCAAACATACTGCTCATTTGAAAAGGATTGATTTAGCTCATTGACCAGCCATTAAACCTCAGTGCAAGATATTTTTTATCCTTCTTAGCACAAGTTCATTCCATCCACATTGTGAAGGTAGCTGTCCACGTCTGAGAGGAAGAGAGGACTTAAGAAAAATCTTCCATCCTTCTTTCCTGGGGTTCATTAAAATAATACGGTATCCTTCCAAATATATTTAACTCTGTTTTTTAAGTCAGTTCCCATCCATTCTTGTGTTAATGTAATGTAATTGCATCTCCTTGGAACTGACTCAGCTCAAAATTTGCTCCATTCTTCTGATGACAATTCTTGCCATATCTTTAATTTACTTTCTTTCACATTTATCATTTCAGTTTGAATTCCCATGTCTTAAAGGTAGGTGAGCAAAACAGGTCTTAAGACAGAGTAGAGTAATTCAGAATTTAACCAAGGCAGAAGAGAAGCTTTAAGAGATTTCATTCCAAACTCTAGTTTTCCATGAAGTTCTGACCCTAACCTATTGCTTCAGAGCCCTAACATGCTGTGAGGTATGTGAGAACTGTGCCACAAAAGGGAGAAAATCTGACCCAATTTATGTAAAACACTCTGGTGGGGAGATGAGAAGGGAGTACGGAATTCATTGGCTAACATGAGAGTGACCCTTGCAATCAGGCAAACCCAAATATCTCTTGGAAGAGGAGAGGAGAGAGATCTTGGAAAAGATAACCTTAGTTCTGCTGCTTTCTCCATCTCATCAGGCCAATTCAGACATTATTCTACCTGGAGTGCTCAACATAAGAGCACTTCAGATAATTCCATCCCTCAGTGGCATTCTTGTGATATTGGCTCCCTGCAGACTTCACACATTCAGCATGATTATCTGCAGGGAGAAAATCTACAGCTTCTGTGCAAGTCAGGAGACTGCATTATGCATTATCGGTTTCTTGGCTCAGGTGGAATCCTACACATATATAGCACACTGTTGGTAGGCTTTTTCCCCTGCGAAAAGTCACAGTGAACATACAGTGCCTGCAGAGAGCCAAAATTATTTGAGCATTTATTGTTCCAGGTATCAGAACACCTAAATTGAGTTTTTGTTTTCTATCTCTCATGGTAGCAATTATATGATCATGTTTGTGAGCTATCTAGGTAGATGGTTGGCTTCATGGCTTTTTTAAAAATGGAAATACTAGTAAGTAATTTCTTCTACTTCTCCTTGCCATCAAATTCCAGAATATTCAGGAAGGGCCTTCGTTATTCCTTACAACCTTCTGTTGAATTATGAATATTCCTCATAATAAGATACATTTTCACTGCACGTTGCAGCATATTCAGTCAGGAAAAAAGCAAAGCAAAAAGTCATCATAAGCGCATGAGTATATGATTTTAAAGGCATGTAGCTTGAAACCCCCAACAATGATTTCTGTGAAATGTCATGCACTTCATAACAATGTAGCTTTCATGTGAATGTTATCCAACTTAAAGGACTGTAGCTCAAAAACATCAATTCTATGCAATTTAGCAAGAAACTGATTGTAGATTTTTTTTTTTTTAAATCAGCTTCTTTGAAATTTGGCAGCCTTCATCTGTTTACAATAATTTAGCCTTCCTGCAAATGTCATTCCATACTAGAGAAAAACAGAAATGTTAAACCAGAAGTACAAAATCTGTGCACTGATTCTGTGAAACCTGTCATCTTTTTTCCTTCATACAGTAATTATCTACCTACCCTGCAGATTTGTTCCTGATTAAAAAAGAAGTATTAATGAAAACCATTAGCTCTGTTTTTCCAAATCTTCTTCTGATGAAACTACTTCCAGAATAACCCAGAGCTAATAAATTCTGGAATTCTGGAATCAGGTGGTCTCTGTACACCCCTACTTAGTTGTTAATAGTCCACCCAATTTCTAAGTAGTAGTTAGTATTCTAATATATTGCTCCTTTTGAAGTTACAAGACCATCTATAATTTCACTCCACCCAATATTTTTCTTCTATTGTTTCTTTCCAATTGTGAGTTAATTGTTGTCTTTTAGTTCAAGACTGATAATAAAAAATGTCCCAATTGTTATTTTCTAACTCTGAAACAGTGTATTTTAAATTTCATTCCAATTCATCCTAGTCACAAGATCTATGAAGAGACTCTTCGCAGTTATAGTTATGTAGGGTTGGGGGGGGGGGGGGCTCCATTCAGACCTTCCCAGGAATAAAGGCAAACTACAGATGTAGCCATGAGCTTCTCCATGACATTCATATCTCTAGATACTGTAGGTATGAATCAATGTTCTAGTTCATATGATTATCCAACTGTTTCTGCACAATTTTTTCTGCAGTGGAAATGCAATCCATATATATCATTAACATCCTCTTACATTATAAATCAGCAGACTAACAATTAGAAACTGAGAGAATAACTGATAGATCTGTACATTTCTATTCACCATAACAGTACACCCTTATGAAAAAGAAAGGTGGGGATTAAACAATAGCAAACTTAATGCTGTATTTGCCAAGCATAGAAATGCATTTTCTTCTATTGTTTATCTTCCCTGGCTACTCTTACTGTATTAGCTTTTGACCCCATCAGATCCACACTAGGATCTTACTAACTAGTAAGTACAGTGATGTGGTGTCTCTGAAACCATACAGTGATACAATGGAACCTCGAGTTACGAATTTAATCCGTTCCGTGACTCTGGTTGCAACTTGAATTGGTTGCAACACGAGGCAAATTTTCTCATAAGGTTCAATGTAATTACTGTTAATACGTTCCGGCGTCCGCGGACCACGCATCAGGGGTGGAAAAACAGCCGCAGACCACGCGGCAGGGCAGAAAAATGGCTGCAGACCACGTGGAACGGGTGGAAAATAGCCGCAGACCACGTGGCACAGGCGGAAAAATGGCCGCGGACCACGTGGAACGGGCGGAAAATGGCCGCGGATCCGGTTCGTAAGTCGAGGCGAGTTCGCAAGTCGAGGCAAATTTTTGGGGCCGGAGCTGGTCGTATCTCGAAAAATTCGTTCGTAACTAGAGGTACCACTGTATGTGGGTGAACTATTATTGTGTGTATGTATGTATGTGTGTGTAGTAGTAGTAGTAGTAGCTTGGTTGTGGCTTGGGGATTTTTAAGGAAACCATTGAAATTCCTGTAAATAATTACCCAGATGTCCACAAAACAAAGTCTAAGATATGTTTTAAGCCATTGAGGAAGGATCTCCTACTTTGCATGTGAAATGTCTTGTATTCAATCTTTGGCCTGTTCAGTTAAAATAATCTTGTGGCAGAAGATTAGAAGGCCATTCTTTTTGCCTGAGACTCCTAAGTTTCTCTACCTGAGAATATGTCTCTCCCTAATATCCTGAAAGAGAAGGAATCCTGCCAGTCTGAGTAGATAGTTTTGGTACAGTGTACACATACACAAATATGTATGGATATAGGTGTAAGTGTATACATATATACATATACATATCTGTACACATATAATTACCTGTTATAAGGCAGTTTTATGTCTCCTGAATAAATCACTTAATTCTTAATTCTTTCTTCCAGATTCTACCAAGGAAAGGCATGAAATATGTCCTTCTTCTCTTCAGCTGCTCTTACTTACCTTGAAGAATTTTAAATAGAAACACTGCTAAGAATCATTAAGGATCCAGGACTTTTCCAGCCCTTCTTTGATGTGATCTATGAAGCAACATTTGGTTACTAAAACATCAAGCAACATAAGCTATGCTAATAATTTCTCTGAAAGGAGGAAACTTAGAGTGATGAAAAGTAAGATCAAACCAAAGGAATCTGGAGAAAGAAAAGGAGAGCTTTGTTACAATCACATTAAACAGCAGCAAAACAAATGCTTCCAGGAAATCTGCAAATCAGTGTATAAAAGCAACAGCCCTCCTCTGCAGCTTGTTCTCAGATGTATACTGCCGCTAAATGTGGAAATTCCATTTAGCCATCATGGATTGATAAATAATGATAAACTATCCTCCCAAATTTTTTCATGAATTTATAAGAACATTGTTAATGAAAGTTCGGGTCTTTTTGTAACTACTAATCAACCAAGGATTCCTCTGGGGAAAAATGAACAGGATCCAATTTGTTTCAGCATACTCATAGTTTTTAAGCTATGTAATAGGAGAAGGCATCTGATTGTAATCAACTTTTCTGAGCCAACTATCTTCCTGATACTGTCCCATTGGTTGTGACATGGGAACTGATTGTGAGACTGGTGAAAGAAAGTAGCTAGATTAGGATTTTTTTCTAAGTATCTGCGTGGCAGCTGTCATATGAGTCTGCGTGGAAGAAAAGTGATATTATTCTGTGAAACCACCATGAATTCCACAAGCATTACAGAAGGTTCTCTCTGCCTTTGGGAAAAGGTGTTGATTGGAGCTATTCTCACAGTCCTCATTGTTGTGACTGTGTGTGGCAATGTGATGGTATGCCTGGCGGTCTATTTCAATCGACGGCTTCGCAGCCTAACTAATTGCTTCATTGTCTCTTTGGCCTTTACAGACCTGCTACTAGGCCTACTGGTATTACCCTTTTCAGCCCTCTATGAGATCTCCTCCCATGAATGGCTCCTGAACGCTACTTTCTGCAATGTCTACATTAGCTTGGATGTCATGCTGTGCACTGCTTCCATTCTCAATCTCTTCATGATTAGCCTTGATCGCTATTATGCTATTACAGCACCCCTCCGCTACAGCACTGTGGTCACTCCTTTACGAGTGGTGGTAGCTATGATTCTTATCTGGATAGTGTCCCTCATGGTTTCTTTCCTACCCATCCATTTGGGATGGAACACCAACGACACAACTATCCAGAACCAGATCCCATCAAACGGGAAGCAAGAGTGCAAACTGGAGGTCAATGTGATGTATGTTCTGGTGGATGGCCTGCTTACTTTCTACCTCCCCTTAATTATCATGTGCATCACATACTACCGGATATTTAAAATAGCCAGGGAACAAGCAAAAAGGATCAACCACAGCACTTGTTGCAAAACGGACAGAAATATACTGCCCACAGTGAAAGAACACAAAGCCACTGTGACTCTTGCAGCTGTGATGGGAGCATTCATTATATGCTGGTTTCCCTATTTTACTGTGTTCACATACAGAGGTGTGAAGGGTGCAGTATGTGACCCACTGCTGACTGTTGTCATGTGGCTGGGCTATGCCAACTCAGCGCTGAACCCCATCTTATATGCCGCGCTGAATAGGGACTTTCGGACAGCTTATCAGAGATTGCTCAAATGTCGGCGAATAGGACCAGATGTCAGAGAGACTTCTCCATCCCACGAGTTGAGAGACAAGACCTGCAAACAGATGATAAATCTCTATGAAAGTAAACATCTAGAGACACATCTAATGAATGGGAAGGTGAAGCCTCTAATCAAAGAGACCATAGAAAGGTAAAGTTCTCTGAAAGGTTCAGCCATTACTAAGGTTGCTTTGGAGACAAAAGAAGCACTGAAAATTTCTGCATCCTGTTTAATGGCACTCAGATCAGATGGGATCATCACCCTTTGGCAGCCTTGGGGAAAGCAGTGTGGCCTGTTAACTCCAATCCTGGTCAGTCTAATTACAATCTGTCCTGGGGTAATTTTACATTTCCTAAATCTAGATCTCCTGGTTTCAGATATTTTCAGCCCAACAAAGGCAAGCAGTAAAGGCATGCACACATTTTCTCTAATGCCAGTATATGTGATACTTAGACTAATATATGGACACTGAGGATTATGAGAATGAATTATAAAACATGAATGAATTGAACCTAGCACAAAGGTTTTTAAATGATAGGGAAAGAAGAAGGAAGACAAGTTATATTTTAGTACAGTGAGGTTTGAAATTCTGCCATCTTTGGCTGTCATTGAATTACAGATCCCCACCAGATATGTAAACTCTCTTTTAAGTAGCAGTGAAGTATACATTTTCATTATGTCATCCATTCCTTTCCATTCCAACATTTTTTGATACGTTGTTGATGATGTTGTTGTTGATATGTTCCACTGAATCTGAGCTATCTCTTGGTGACTCTATGGATAAAAGATCCCCACATTATACAAGTATTGCATTTCTGTGGCTTCCAGTACTCAATCTATCCATCTAATGCACCCTTCTTTTTCTTTCATCTACCTTGTCCAGCAATATCATATTTTCCATAGATGCATCAGCCCTCATAATGTGTTGAAATTATGATCATTTGTGTTTCATGATCGAGTGAGCATTCTGGCTTGATTTCCTCTAGTATCAAATGGTTGGTTCTCTTGGCTGTCCAAGGTATGTGGAGCACCCTTCTCAAAGGTGTGCAAAAACAACCGCTCAGGGGAGTCAGTCTTCTTCCTCTTGCACAGAGTCCATCCCTCACTTCTGTATCTCCTAACAGAGAATACCACTGAGTTGACTATTCTAATTTCTGTCTTGATTGAAATGTCTCAGTCTTTCATGAGTTTATCTAGGGCCCCCCAGTGCCTTTTTGCCTACTGTTGTTCTTCTCTGAATCTCTTTTGCACATCTTTTATTGATTCTGGAGCCTCAAAAATTGTAATTATCAACTATTTCTATTGTCTCTGTGTTTATCTTAAATTGTTCTAGTTTTCCAGCTCACATAATTTGTTTTCTTAATGTTCAAGGAAAGCCCTGCCTTTTCACTCTCCTGTTTTATTTTTAGAATGACTGCTTTTAAGTCTTCTTCAGTTTCCGCAACCAAGGTAACGATGTCTGCCTATCTCAAGTTTTTTATATTCCTTCTACTGATTTTGACACCAATCTCTTCCAGACCTGTAGCCCATATGATATATTCAGTGTAGAGAATGAACAGGTCTGTCAATAGAAAAGGAGTCTATCTGACTCCTTTTCCAATGGTAAACCATTCAATGTTATCAAATTCTATTCCCACTGTGGCTTCCTGGTTATTGTAAATATTTCTGATCAAAAGAATCTGATGCTGTGATATATCCATTGCTTTGAGAGACTTCCAAAGTCTTGAATGATAACAGTATCAAAAGCTTTGGAGTAGTCTATAAAACAGAAATAGAGCTATTTTTAATATTTTCTTGCTGTTTCCCTTATCCACCTAAATTAGCTAGACAGTCTTATGTTCCCTTGTTCTTTCTGAAGCCAGCTTGTTCAAATGCCATTTCTCTCTCCATATAGGGAACTAATCCCTTCCACAGAATTTTCAACCATATCATGGTGGTTTTAGGACTATCCTTCTGTAAACATTCCTTTAAATCTCCCTCTTTAGGAATTGGGATATAGATAGATCTTTACCAGTTTTGGGGCCATGCTGCTTTTTTCCGCAATTGTTGCCTGAGAGCTGTCACAAACTTTATGGTTTCCAGGCCAGCCTCCTTTAATTGCTCCACCTTGGGCTTTCGTATTTGCCAGTTGTTTTATAGCCCATCTGACTTCCTCCTCACCATTGGTTTCTTGTTGTTTTCTTCTCTTTCAAATCTGAGTTGGTCTTCCTATGCAGGTTTTTCAATGTATTCCATCCATCTTTTTTCACATTATGTTCCATCCTTAATTCCTTTCCATACTTGTTCCTTATGGTATTAATACAAGGCTGGAACATTATTGTGCTTTCTCCGATTTCCTGTAGTGGGAAGAAGGATGTAGTAGAAAGAAGGAATAACCTTGGCACAGGAGAAAAAGCCGCATCCAAGACAACAGTCAAATAAAAGAAATTTGGTCTACCTTGGAGGGCTGACACTTCCTTAAATAGATCCCTTGTTCTTCCCATTCTGTTGTTTTCTTCTATTTGTCTACACTCTGAGTTCAGATATACAGTACCTTGTACCTGTCATTGGAAGTTTGCATTACTGTACATTTTTCAGTTTTCCCAAGATCTCCTCTGGTTTTTGCCAGTCCTTTCCTTAGCTATTTCTACCATCTTGTTTGATAGCCAGTATATTCTTCATTTCCCTTCTGGCTCTTGTTATGGGCTTTCCAGCTTCCTCTTTTACAATCATTCTAACATCTTCTCACAATTCTTCAGACTCACTGTACACAAGTTCCAGGTCTTTGAATGTGTTTCTAACCTCAGTCTTATATTCATCTGGAATGAATTCTAGGTTATATTTCAGTGGGATTGGAGCCTTTCTGCTCTTTTTCAGTCTGATGTATATTTCTGTGATTGCTAGCTGTTCTGATCTACAGTCAGCACACAGTACTGTTTTTCAGTTCAACGTAGAGTTTTTCTACTTCTTGCTATATAAGATATAATCTATTTGATTACAGTGTTGTATATTTGAGAACACCAGGTGTAAAGCCATCTTCTGTATTGCTGAAATAATGGGTTAATGACAAACACAGTAGTATATAATCTATTGTCCTTCATCATTACAAGCTCCTAGTCCAAATTTTCCAACATTTTCAGTGGAAGTTCCTCTCCAACTTTAGCAACAAAATCACCAATAATTATTAAAACATCCTTCTTGATGTTTGATCTATAATTTGTAATCTTCCATTGAATTCATCAGCTAATTCTTCTTCAACTTTTGTCATTAGTGCATACAGCTGTATAACCATGAAATTGAGTGGCTATCCTTGACTGGGTTGTACATGCAACAATATGTTTTGAGACAATAATTATTACTCCACTTTTTTTGTGAGGTTAGTTTCCAGAATAGAAAAAAATGAATTTATCTGATTGGAAATGTCCCATTCCTGTACATTTTAGTTCACTTACTGCTAAAATTTCTGCATGGTTCATATTATTTCTGCTTTAACAATATCCAGCTTTCCCTGGTTCATATTGAATATGTTTCATGTTCCCATCCTGTGTTTTCAACAAGCTCCAAACTTTCTTTTCAATTTATGTTGCATCAGCAACTGAACTTCCCATAGACATGTCATACTGCCTAAATCTAATAAATCTCTTAACTTTTCCCCAGTAGCTAAAGAGTTACCTCCAGACCTGGGGTCTCATCTTTTGGCAACATGACATTATTTCTTGCTGAGTTTCTTTCCATGAGTTTTCTTGGCATATGTGAAGAAGTAACTTGCCATTGCTTTCCTAATTGTGATGCCTTAGAGTTGTTGCTACCTTGCCTGTGGCTACCTGTTCACAAGCCTGTCTGATGTATTTCATCTAGGCCCTTTGGCAGTACTGATTGCACCATTGCCTCCAATCAAGAAGATGGGGTTGAACTTTTAAAAAAATATGGAACTAGGCAATAGTAAAAGCTCTATATAAAAGTAGTTTAGACCACATGACTAAAGGCTACAGTGGTCTAATAGCCCATGGAAATAGCTGAACTATAATATGGAATGAACTGATGAAATTATTATTGTTCATGTCAGCCCAGTGCTACCATTGTTTCTGGGAGAGATGGGGCTATCATAGGAATTTGTCATAGGTATATTCCTATTCAAGCAATCACAAGGTTCTTTTGTTATTGGAACATTATGGGAAAATAGTTCAAAAAGCTGAGGGAATCTCATAAAGGGTGATCATTTCATCTGTCTCATGAAAGTCGAATATTTAATAAATAAACATCTTTTTGTAAATCAGTCAGAAGGTATGTTTACTACTTTTTAAAAATGAAGAAATGGTGTTCAGTTTCTGATAAGAAATATTCCTGTCCTAATTTCTAAAGCAACAACAAAGATTTGGTGTCTTTAAAATTAGGTCAATCAATATTTTGGGAAGCTGGAATGACTCTCAAAGACAGAATTTGCATATGAAAAACTTCACATGTCAAGAGCAAACCTTTTATCTATCTAGCTAACATTTTGTTGTATTTTTCTCTTGAAAATCATGTCTCTAACAATCCAGACACAATACCGTTATCTTTCTTTCCATTTTACAGAAAAAGAACTGAAACAGTACATATCCAAACAAAGAGCGGCTGTGCTTTTATTATATAGAATGAACTCAAGCATACTTATAACTGGTAGAAATAGGCAGTATGCTATGTTCAGAGTGGCTCATTTAATGGAATAAAAAATACATTACACACGGTTGTAAGCACAGCTAACTGGGTTCTTCTTGTGCCTATGCTATCTTGTAGAGGTCGAGGATTACTCATACATTTTATTACTGAAATATGGACCTGCACCAAAGAACCATCTGCACCCAGTCTAGAGCAGGAATCCTGTGCTTTTGGCTTTACGATTGGAGATTTCAGGAAGAGAAGCTTCCATAATAGCTGTAGCCTCTCCCTTCTGAAACCTTTCCTTGCTGTGCAATAAAGACAAAGGAATTCAAATTCCATATCATCTGCCAGCCCTAAATCTTTGCAGTTTACCCCTATATAATGTGCAGGGGAACAGCCAGTCAATATAGAGGACTTTGGCAGCAATAGTGTCCAATGCAGGAATGAGTTTACCCTCATTGTCATTACCAGACCTTTATGAGAATATAGATTCTGAATTCCTTTGATAACAGTCCTTGCTATTGTTAAATATTTAGATCTTAGATCTGCATTATTCTGGTTGATTTTCCAGAGCTTCTTTGTTCAGTAAATACTTTGTAAGAGACATACTGTTTGTTAGTACTGATTATTTTAAACGCAAGGGAGAAAAAATTACCTGCAATTTTTTTTTACTAGATG